GGGGGGTGTGCATTAAACGGACAAAGTAAACAACTCGGCGGCCCTAGGACCTTTCGCCGCTCCGGGCCCGGCAGAGGGAGGACGCAGCCTGGCCCTTGGTGCAGCCCCCCGCTGCAAAGATGGAGCCCTGAGGCACCCCTCGCCAGGGTACAACGGTGAGAGGGGCTGCTGGGACTCGCTCCCCTCCCCTCTTTCCTGGGCAAGACTGAAGAGCGGCTGAGGTTGCATGATAAAGCTAAAGAAAGGATAGAGAGAGAACAGTCTTCGTCAGCGAGGTCCAGATTTCTCTTAAATGCCAGATGTGGCCAGGCTGAAAGCGCACAGAAGTGTTTGTGGTATTGCAGTGCCAATGTCTAGCTTAGCACCGTTGTTCACAAATACTGGAGTTAGTTGAACATGTGGCAATTACGGGGTTTCAAAAGATGCTATGTTTGGCTAATAGGTGGCATCTTCTTTAATGCTTTTCTCTGTACTGAGAATAAATAAGCACCAGCTGTTTGCACACTTGAAAACCTTGTGATCCTGGCGGTTAATTCCACAGAAGTGGCATAGTGCTACTCCTTTCTACGCAAGATCCCAGTAAGTGGACAGAGGCACAGACGAAGGTGGCACTTGAGGCAGCAACGGCTGGAACTGCGTCGTTGCCACCTTCCTCTGCAGGCACAGCTGCCAGCATGGCCTGTGCTGAGGGATTCAGCTGGTGGTCACTTCGGCTGGAGCCGAAGCCCCTCAGTGTGCCCTGACCAGCAGACAGATGTACACAGTGCCCTTCCACTTGGGGAAGGCACGCTTGATGCCTACAGCAGCAGCTGTAGATGCTATTCCAGAGACATGGGGACCATGCGACAGCACATTTTTGTGTGGTTCGTATCTTTGTTTTCTAAGTAATCAATAGTTTAGCTATTCTGCTACCCAGGATGCTTGAAGCAGGAACATGCAGGCACAGGGAGAAGAAAAATCGATGCCACCATGCCGTGGCCAACCTCTGTGGGGCTGAACTGTCCATGGCTGTAAAGCACAAAGTGTTGAGAAGATCTGTAAGATCCCATGCCACACATTGCCCCCTCAAAGGAGGGCTCAGAGCTTCTCACTTGAGGGCTATCAAGAGTGCACAACAGAAGCAAAAGAAAATACAAGCGATGTTGTCAGGAAGAGGTAATAAACACATCTATTCATGGAGAACAATGCAGCAGTGCAATGTTTTATTGGAAAAAAAAAATCATCTCACTTGATACCTCAGAAGACTGCATCGCAACGTTGGTGGGCCACACCGTGGGAGAGCTATACTGGGGAGGCCAGCACGGTGCTGGGTGCCCCCCTCCGCGTGGGCCCAAGAGCCCTCCCCTCACGTCCCTGGGGTCTCCCAGCTGCTAATGAGTTCTGGCAAGGAGAGGAGAGTTTGCCCAGGTAGGCTTAATGCCCTGCTTCCTACCACAGCATGGTTGGCTCAGTCTGGCTTGTGTCCCCATGTCACCTCCGAGCTCCCTGGGGACAGTGGTTTCCTCAAGCACAGGACTTGCTGTTAACCTGCTTTATTTTCCTTTTTTTTTTTTTTATTTAAAAAAGCCACTCCACATCTTTGCCCTTTTGAAGAGTCCAACGTACGATTATAGTGCAAGAGGGCTTGGTACAAGTGAGCATTACCAGCATGCCGTGGGGGGACAGTCCTCCCCTACAAACACATCATCGTAGGATTAAAAGAACATCGTATCTCCAGAGAGAAGCGGTAGTGGGTCACCGTGAAATAGCTTTCAAACCAACCCACTTAAAAACAAGGTCAGGAAAGTTCCTAAACAATCAAATACATTCACTTAAAAAAAAAAAAACAAACAACCCCCCCCCCCAAAACAAACAAAAAAACATTTAAGAACAAAACCTGTTGAGATGGCCCCTTTTACCCCCCCACCCTCCCTCACCCTGGAAACACTTACATATGCTGCAACTACAAGCTGCTCCTTGACCGGAGGCAGCAAGGAATGACCAAACACGGCAGGAGATGCAGAAGGAATCGAGTTCTGGTGACAGGCACTTAGTGGGGCTTGGGAGGGCAGCAACAGAAGTGTCTCAGGGCCTGGCTCCACCTGCAGCGGGCAGGACCACTCACCAGGGAGTGCCTGTGCCCCTTTCCCCCGCTCCCAAGACGCCAAACCATGGTTTCCTACAGCAGAGAGGGGAACACCTGTGCCAGAGACACCAGGCTTCTGGGAGCCACCAGCAGCGGAGGAGTTCGGAAAGAGAAAGGTGGAACGTGGCCACGGCCCCCAACCTCTCTCTGGCAGGAGGGGACGAGAGAGCAAAGTGCCCCAGCATGCACCTGCGGGAGGTGAGCGATCTTCTTCCTGCCCTGGCCCGCAGTACGGCTTGAGGAAAGCACTTTGCAGAATGAGAAAGGGGGTGCACGTGTCTCCTGGTGGGCAAGCGAACAAAGAGCTCTGTGCCTCTGAGCTGTGCTTGGTGGGATAAGGCATGGAAAGAACACTGCGGAGAATAGTCAAGAGACGCCCTACAGGGATCCCAGCAAGGAATCGAGGCTTTTCCGCCCTGGCACCACACCAGCATCTGCCTGCTTTAGGGATGCACAAAGAGCAAGCCCAGAAGCTCCCTGCCCAGGATGATCTCCTGCCCTCTAAGCCCGCTTCTGCCCAGCCAGGGGAACTGAACCTCCCGGGAGTGCCACTCCACAAACTCCAAGCTATGCAGATCATCATTAAAAAAAAAAAAAGATAATGAGATCTAGTCTCTCCCTTTCCTCCCTTCACGCTCTCCGGGATTTTTGGGGTGAGCCAGGCCCGAGTTTATGACAAGCAAAGGCCCTGAAGTGAACGGTCCCAGCCTGGTCAGCTTTCACATGTGGAAAGACAAAGTACAAGGAACCTATTCACAACCTCTCCAAAAGCTGCTCGAGTTCTCCCACAGCCCTGCCACATCTACAGTAACCCCCGGATAGCCTCAGCCTCCTCCAAGTTTGGAAATGCTGCAGCAGGATGCAAGATTTTTTTTTCCACACATGTGCAAAGCGCCCCAAGCCCTTTGCTAGCTATTGGTTTGGCTCAAAAGCGGTGCATGAGAACCGTGGCTTCTCCTGTGGGGTGGGATGGTGTCCCACGTGCCCCAGACCCATGCTTGCAGAGAGGACATAAAGGCTATTCCAGTCAAACCTATCTGATCATCTGGAGATGAAATCAGTGTTAAGGCAGTGAAGTATCCTCTCCCCTGCTGGGGAAGCTTTGCTCCTGCTAATGTCTTCTTGCCAAAGGTTTGCGTTTAAAACCACCCTACTGGAGGGATTTGAGAAGGCTGCCCGGTTGCCCACACCGAGAAATGCCTACGCTTTGGGAAACAGCTGCCTCCCAGTTACCTTAATCCAGATCTACCTCTTAAGCCAGCACAAACTCCTCCAGCTCAGCAAAGCCGATGCTGCTCCCTTCTGCCAACGCCAGGCTACAGCCTTGTGCCTCCCAGCCAGTTGGGTCAGGCACGGTGTAGGAAACCATGGTAGGGACATTCACCGGCAGCTAGAAAGGGTGACTGAAAATTCAAGTATGCTTTCCTCAGCACATGGCCCAAGACGAGCGTCAGGAACCCCAGACCGGCACAAGGGTCATGCGGATGATATCGACGTCCCCAGTCGAGGGCATTCTTTGCACCCCACCATCTTCCCAGCTGAATGTCTGTCTGCGCTGGCACCATGTGGCCACGCAGAGATCCACAGATACAATGTGCATCTGTAAATGCTAAAAATAATAAAAAGTGCAACGACGTCAGCTTCTTTAAAACAATCCACATTGCTCTGTTACCATCAGAGGAGGGAGGTGTCAAGGGAGCTGGAAAAAAAACCTAACTGGAACAGTAGATTGCAAATTTCTCACAGCTTGCACATTACAGTGTAACTGTTCCCAAGGAGCGGAAAAGGGAACCTGTCTCTTACTGCTGCAGCAGTCAGGCCCTTCTCCCATGCAATGCTCCTGCCCACACTGCATCCTCCTGCCCTCTCGACAGCCAATCGAGCCTATGGTATTTCTTCACTTAATTAAGGAACGAGGAGGATGGGGGAGCAGAGACCGCAGGGGAGGGAGGGGAGGAAAGTGAGCAGGAACTAAGCACAGTCCTCAGGTTTGCGTGAACGATGCCTTCACCGTAAACAACGGGAAGGAGGGTCAGCCAGCCAGCCCCCCTCCCAGGGTGACCAAGACCTGAGCCAGCCACAGTCCTGGTCCCAAAAGGAGCTTCAGGCTTGGAGTGAACGAGGGAGACCATTCAGCACATCCATCCCAGAGTGGTTTGTTTTGGAACGTTTTCTTCTCTTTTTGGTTTAAAATGTCACTGTTGTTTTTTTTTTTTTTTCTCTCTCTCTTCCTCCTATGCCTCCTCCACCCCCCTAAAGAAAAGCCCCTTCCAGTGAGACAGGGCAGGAGCTGCAGGCGCGGTGGTTCCTGCAAGGCCCAGGAGGCACTGGTCACTTGTGACGCTGAGCCGTCTTCTTCCGTTTCCTCTTAAAGAAGCAGCAGCACCTGGGGCACAAAGGACAAGGCAAGTTAGCCCCGCGCCCAGCACCCCAGGAAGGTCCCTCATTACCCCGGCTTCCTTCCACTCAGCCACATGCAACAGCATCTCTGTGCGCCAGGCTTGAGGCCCAGACAGACCTGCTGTCCCATGGGACGGTCAGCAAGGTCGGCAGATGCTGGTGGAGGGGTGACACCACCAGCCTGGACTGGTGGACCAGCAAAGGCAAGTTAGCCACACACTGAGAGGGCCCACTGCCCAAATACTGCGGGTGACAGTGGGGCACAGCCCCTGAGTGCTGGGCTGTCTCCATCTCGAGGCTCGACTAGGGCAGGAACACAAGGAGCCATCTGGGAAAGCAGTAAAACAAGGATCCAGGTGCTCCTCTCCCTCTGTCTGAACCCTGGAGGAAGTAGACTGGGATGGCAAACCCTGGCTGCTCTTCCCAGCGACAAGGCACACGGTTTTCACCACCGTTCACTAAAAAGACAAGTTCCAAAGAGATCTCGGCTCAGGGACCAGGTTTCTTTACTGAACCTTTCACAATAACCAGAGCTTCCACCTTGGATAAGTCATTCAGTGCCAGAATGCAGAATCCCTGCTTCTTCCCCCATCCGATGCGATGGAGGTGCATAGCACCCAGGGATTAGGGGAAGCAAGGATGGATAGAGGAGGCTGAGGTGGGGAGAAAAAAACGCCCATCACAGCTGAGCCGTGAAGTGGTGGTTTCACCTGTGGGATACACTGAAAGCAGTCACCCAAGTTTTCTAGTCCTGCTGGCTTCCTATAGAATTACTTGCCGTTTAAGGCATATCTACCTTTCCATCCTCAGCCCACTGTCAGGAATCCTCTGCACAGAAGAAAGGTGTTTGTTCTGTGTGAGTTCTGCTCCTGAGCTACATGTCTTTCTCCTTCTGCCGTTACAGCCATCTCCAGAGAAGCCCAGGTGATGCTCAAAGACTACTTTTTCAGGCTTGTGGAAGGGATGCCTGGCTAAGCAGCAAGACCAGGTGTGATTATGCAACGACCATTTTTTCCTACAAGCATCTTTTACCAACAACCAGACCAAAAGCGTTCAAAAACACTGTAACAACTTCTCAGAATTATTTTCCATTGGGTCCTTCGTGGCTCTGAAATGTCAGCATTACACTTCTATCCTCTCAGAGCTGGAGGAACAGATTTGTTCTCACTCGCACCCCAGAAGGTGCTTGCCCCTGGATGCAAGAGCCTTACTACACGGTGCTAAAGCGATGCGTGACCACCACCCCTCCATGAGCCAAGCCTGCCTGCACAGATCATCTGCTAGGGAGACCAAAACCCCCTACAACATGGAGAACTCAAACAGCCACAGCAAGAGGAGGGCCACCTCCCACCACACCTTCCTCTGGCCTGCACAGACTAAGGGCCAAGAGAAGTTCAACATCGACGATTTGTCTTTAGGCTCCTAAACAGACCCAGTTTGGAGCTGAGGCGAGGAAAAACACAAAGCACTTGTCCTTGCAGGAACATGGGCTTAGAGCGACCTGTGACGGCTCCATCTCTACCCACCTAACCTGATGCCTGCAGCGTGCAGTCTGAAGCACCACCCAACCGAGGCTCCTGCACATGGCCGGCACACTTAACCCCCCCCCCCCCCGACCGGGCATTTGTTTTTTTTTTCCCTGGCC